CGTCGATTTAATTCCTCACTTAAGTTACATAAACGGTTTTTCGAAAAACAGTTAAGATCTGCACTTTTAACCCAAACCGTTTATGTAACTTAAGTGAGGAAGTAAATCGACGATTCTGTTGTCTTCTGAGCTATTTTTTCGCAAACATGTACATTTTCTAAAACATATGATACTGATACACGTTGTGTGAAAAAAAGTCGTGGGGATTCTGCCTACAACGCGTGAAATAAGGAAAAAAGAAAAATCGTACCTTCGACGTTCCGACATTTTGTTACCAAAACGGTTCGTTTTGGTAACCAGCGTAATCGAGTGGATCACCAGTGTCATAGTTTTATGCGCGCTTAGTCTACTTCAGATACTCTTTCAGCTTCAGAGTTTCGGGTTTAGAACGGAAGATTTGAATATTTGACGTTGGGTCAACGGGAACCATTTTACTCGTGTCTATTGAACACTATGCTGTCAATTTTGATTTCGATGCACAGTTGAATTCTTGCTGAACACGATGATGTATGTCATGCATGATTTAGCGCCAAAAATCTTACGAAACGAGCTCGTTTAAAATATGTATTAGAAAACCAGCTATAAAACCGCATCAATGACATATTATAGAATCATTACACGCTATGGTGTAGTCTAAACAAACACTGGATTTGAACGGCTATTTATATGAGAAGGCTACATGAATTTGTATATGGTCGAGTGATACGTACAGGTTCAGTTTCGATTATATATGCAAAGCTTAACCTCTCCACTTATTAGTACTGAACGTAATCCGATTAATTCTTTCATTGCGCCGAAATAATTAAAATAGCTTATTTTCTCTTTTCATTATATTGACCGCTCTGGACATATCATTATTAGTTGTTTTCACTCACATATACGCTTATACAGCAGCCGACTGCCCCTTTTTATTTCTTTGAGACGCAATTGAAATTCATATTAGCATTATATAAAAAAACGTTCAAAACGTTTTTCTCAATATCTTGCGTTGTTTTTCTTTCCCGACGGATCTTCAATATTATGCCAAACATGTAATTTCTGTACAGCCTTGCTTTGTGACTACTGTTATCATTTGCAAGAGCTCATTTTTGAGTTGATTACTTTTCCTCTGTCAAAATTCGTAAACTTCGACTCCAAAATAGGGCTAATCAATTAAAATATATTTACATTATGTTAACCCAAGCAAATAATCATAACAACTACATTATTTTTTAGCAGTTCTGACACCTAAGCAATGTAGCCTCGCAGCGTAGAGACTAGAAACTAATCGTGTTCGAACGTAGTGGGATACGGAGGTCCCGCGTTCGAGCCGCAGGTACGGAGAATTTTTGATTATTGCACTACAGGACATCCGGTATAATTATTACATTTTTGAGCAACGTTGACACCCGAGCAGTGTAGCCTGGGTGGTTAGTGACTGTGGTAGTGCGTACCGAGGGATACAAGGTCCCGCGTTCGAGCCTCGGGTACGGCGTTCTTGATAATAGTTCTACAGGGCACTCGGCCCGAAGGTCCAACCGTTTACCGGCCCTTGGCATGGGTCGGTTCTCTGACTGCTCTTGTCGGAGACAGATTGTGAGACTGTGGTTGGTTCCTCCACTTATGGGCTATAGTAGACGCCGGGAGTCATACAGTATGGTAGTGGGCCCCCACCAAGGGCAGTAGTGGAACGACGCGAATCGGTCCCAGTATGGTTGCCTTGCAACTGAAGCGACTCGAGGAAATCATGCCATTCACAGTGACCCAGAAAAGACTTTTGCTTCTTGATTTAACTTATTTTGTTATATCAATTAAAACTTAAACAAACTGATTTCAACGACGGGCACTTATTTATTGTGCAATTTGTTCAAAACAAGAAAGATGAAAGCCCTCCAGTCCAAGCGATGTTTAAGCAATGTAGGTCCAATTTAGAATAGTCTTTTTTATTCTAGGTCCAAATAATGGACCAATTTACCAAATTATTCAGCTTCGTTCACAAAGTAGTGCATCCGTCGGTCGAAGTAAAGACTGAACGCTTGAAGAAGACTTCAAAGATGGAAATTCACAGGATGATATATTCAGACGATATTGCAGAAGACGGTAGGGCTTTTTATTGGTCAAATGAATGAAGGAGACATCTATATTTGATTCAAAATTGCTTATTTTCATACAGATACAATTGCACCTGCAATAGTCAATGAATTACTTCAGGTAAAGAAGTACAATAAAAAGTATAAAAAGAATTAATGTTGGAAAGGCAAAATTACTCCATGTTGGGTAACTTTGTGAATACTACATTAATAATCTCTGTACCAACTCCCGCAAATCTAGCATGAATCCCCCGAGACATTCGGAAAAGCATTGACATGAAAGTTATTTTTTGGTGTATATTCAATATTGATTCTCGTCTACCGAGAGCTTACCTTAAAGATTCTCGCAATCTTTATCCAATCAGCGTTTGCGATGTGTATCGGCTCACGTATAAAAGGCGAATCCAACTCAAATCCATGCAGGGGTGTATGAGGTACTCGAATAGGAAAGAGCTCGTGAAATCTGAATTTATATGCACATGGTCAATGTTTACACATGTTTGGAGTTATTGAAGAAAATGTGATATGGGTGTGGTTCCGAATTTGAAGTCATTGCTGGAAAATATGATTATTTTTAATACGTGAAATTATATCTATAAATACAGCACTAAAAATAACAGTACACATGAAGTACATGTATGATTGTGTCCAGAAATGTTTGAAACCCTTACGGAAAATTCTGTCTGCATTTTTTGTCACAATTGCTCTTTCTTCCCGCATTCTAGTGCTGTTTGAATGAATATATTAATTAATGTATTTCTAACTAAAATATATCACATTTTTTTATAAACCACAAACATTTAGATCATAAAAAAATTATTCAATACTTGAGTGAGCACGATATGCAAGGGTTACTAAGTTGACACAGTAAATGACCACTGATATTGTGTTAGTCCATGCACACAGCGTATTCTGCTAAAACATATTTGCTAACACCCCCCCCACTTTCATAGTGAAGTGACTAATTGGTTTATGTTTACGTTTTAATGTGTTTTGGGTTCCTTGTTACAGCAAGGGGGGCCAGTAAAGTAAACTAACATGTTTGCATGGCAAGTTTTGGATCTTATTTTCCTAAGAGCTCTAGATAAGGAGTTTGTTGTCCGGGTCGAAGCCTTATTCATAAAGCCAGCGTAGGACTAAACGTCAACGTACAGAGGTAGGTTGATTTTGTTTATGAAATTGCTGCCACTTGACTTTATGTAAATGTAAGTAATTTATATTGCTTACCATACTATATGTCCTAACTTCAGGTATCCGCAAACGCGTTATTTGCACGAATCTTATGCTATAGCCTTGTTAAATAGGGAAATGAGCGATTCTGGCAGTGTTACACATATTTTTGCCTGAAAATCACTAGCCTGCTTTGTATTCAATGAATACATCGATTCATAAGTACTCACAATATGTGCGAAAACCAAAGATTAAAAGAGCTTAAATAGGTACATGTAGCAATTGACCGAATAATCTTTTAGGATTAAACTATTTGGACGTGTCCAAAATATTCCTTTCCCATCGTTAACTCCATGGCCCACTTTCCACATTTACAGTCATTTATGGCGATTCTAAGATAAAGATAGTTAAAATATAAACACGATCTTTAGAGTAGTGAATATTATTCCACGTTGTTGAATGGATAGTCTGTTTAAACTTAAAGGCAGAATCTGATCTATAGGGGGTGACAAAATTACAAGCAACATGTATAATTGACCTACCAAAATCTATTCCTTACACTATCAAATACAATATCTCCGAAAAGATTCACAATATGTTATACATTGGTGAAGCTATTAATGATTCAAAGTGCAAAAATGGGTCACAAATGTTTAAATTCTCCCAAATAATAAGAATGGTAACCATTCTTATAGAAAAATAGTACATTATTGTAAAAATCTTAAATTTTCCTGGAATAAAGTATGCACTTTTGTGATTTTTAGAAAATAGACATGACAAGGAATGACATGAGCCAAAAATATTCTAAAACTGAAACAATTCTGATTTTCTCTTTAAGTTAATAACACTAAGTGCAAATTTATTACATATTTCTGGCACGTTCGCCATTTTCGAACGAACTAGCCCATACAATGATTATATTTCTGCGTTCTCCCATACATAACCTTCATCTTGACACTATATTTAATATAGGGTTTGCGTCTCGATTTTTAAATATCACTACGCCAACTAAGGGACTCGTTTTCAGGTAAAATCCCTGCTTCACCGTTGAAAATTAACGAATAAAGTAGTTCCAGTTTACGGGACTATATTCTTGCGATTTTTTCTTAAAATGGCACATTTAGAAAGTACTTGGCCTCAGCTTTACATACATTACTCGAGTCTCTAGCTTACAGCTAGACGAAACTTCATTGATTTCGTATGTACTGTGCTACACGCACCTACACGCACCTAGAACTCATTTTTAATAAATTTTATAAATATTTTTAAGAATATTAATCATATTTAGGATGAAGCGTTGCTTGTCTGGATTTAGATATTTCAAAATTTCATTTCGGAGTTTTGACAAATGGTGAAATTTTCTCGCTGTAGCTAAAAATGGCTTCCGGTTCTGGACGTGAATAACATTTGAAATTATTCTCGCTAAAGAAATCAAATATAACAATAGATTCAGACGGGGATGTGAGCTGATGTTCTTCAAATCTATACATAAAGGTATATTTCATATTATTATGCCATATTTACTGTGCGTGTGACACAATGATTTACAATATTTATAATACTAAGGCAGCTCAATCTTCCTCCTCAAAGCCGGAATATAGAGAAGGCTTTGGACCGAAGTAATACATACACACCTCAAATGGCCACATTGCATACAATTAAACCTACTATACACAGCATTGAAGTTGGCATGGCTTCGTTTTTAAAGTATAGTGCTATTTACCGGAGTGACACCAGAAACACAACCGGAAGTGCTATTTACCGGAGTGACACCAGAAACACAAAATATCATCACCAGGTAATTACGACTAATTGCAAAGTAATTAGCTCAATTTCATATTAGTTGATTTAGACTTTATAAGATCAATATTAAATATTATAGATTATGACGTTTGTTTGTCTAAATATATTATGAACGCTCTGATTTTAGGTGAATAACAATCGGAATAACTTATTTTTTTGTATTATCGCCCATTGATTTTACCGAAATGTTACATGTTGACTTAGAGGAGGGAAAACCCCAGAGTTTTAGCGACGACACACATATATATCGGTGTTGCATTCTAGGAGCCAATCCTCCTTGTGTTGACTATTATTTTTGAATCGTATTGTTGTCGAATGATTCGCTGGATGAAATATCAGGGTCTGATTTACTCACTTCGAGCCATGTTAGATTTTGAAACTTATGGCTCTCAAACGCGGAAGTGGACAGCTCATCGATTGTGACCTTTGAAATCGAATTAAGTCGATCAGCGGCCTACTTTTGTTCTCTAACTATGCTATACATCATTATCATCCTTCTGTACAAGTATTGGAGTGCTGAGGTACTTCCTTTTCGATCAAGACTTGAAATTGTTAGTTGAGTTAATGTTTTAACTGCCAAATTCCGTTGCGTTGCGTATCTCGCTCCTAGCAAACCGCCATATTGGAAATAGGTCTAAAAAAATTCACTCGATGAACAATTTACAAGTCTTGATCGAAAAAGAAGTATTTCAGCGCTCTAATACTTACACGGATTGATGATACTGATGTAAGACACAGTTAGAGACCAAAAGTAAGCCGCTGATCGACTTAATTCGATTTCAAAGGTCACAATCATTGAGCTGTCCAAATGCTCCGTGGGAAAGCTATTATATCAAAATCCAAATAGCTTTCGCAGGAAGTAAGGTCTGATCAGACTATCAGTGAATAGTCTAATCTGCATTTTCGATACTAAATTATCATTATTTACTTGTACATGTAGATCTATCAGGTTTAAATTACTGACTTTTATATTGCATTCATTTCATGCATCACATATCCTCTTCTATAAAATAGTCTAAATCTAGCCAAAGCCGGGAGCCAAACGGTGACCTTCACGGCAGTAGATACAGGTAGGCCAGCTTGAAAGATAACTCATTTATTCACACCCTTATCTCATTCCAAGACTATCTCTACGTTCTAGTCTTGCGGGGCATCCATTGAACGACAAGTTATTTATCAAAACACGAAATTAAAGGGCGCTAGGTATGCATATATTTCTTACCTCTATCGATTCTTAATACCACAAGAAAGGTTCTACCAAAGCAAGAAAAGACGCGGCGGTCTCAAATTGCAGTAATATACTCTTCAATCTTTCGATTGACCAGTTTTTAACTTACTTGACGCGTAGTAATATGTAAATAAATCGAGGTGATTCAGGTTTGGCATGGCTGTCACCGATCAGCCGCATGAACAACACGTCAAATACAACAGTTATTTCATTCAAATACCAATATGTGCCGATTTATCAATGTTGCTTGAATTGATTCCGTATTGATGGGGCGAACTAATTTCCCAAGCCTGGAGGAATGTTCCCTGGAAAAAAGATATTCAAATGTACGCACTGGATGAAATGTTCATGGCAGACATTTTGAAATTAGCTGAAATACTGGTCGATCGAAAGATTGAAGTGTATATTACTGCAATTTGAGACAGCTGTGTCTTTTCTGGCTTTGAAAGAATGTTTGTTTTGGTGTGAAGAGTCGATAGAGGTTAAGAAATATATTCGTACCAGGCGCCGTTTAATTTCGTGTTTTGAAAAATATTGTGTCTTTCAATGGTTCCCCCTAAAGACCAGAAACGAAGAGGATGGGCTTGGAACAAGATAATTAACACCCAATTGCCTTTTCCCAAAAACTTCAATGGAAAGTGTACTTCCCAGTATGACTGAATGTACAATGTTAATGATTGAATTCTTTTTCCAGATGTTTCGTTGCAAGCTGTTATGACGCTGTGCTTCAAAAAACGGACATACCAGTTTGGTTGTTTAGTAATTGCTGGTATTGCACTTTTACTAATAGTCGACAAATTTCTAATACAGCCGTTGAAAATAAAACTCTTGAAAAAGAAACAAATTCAAGAATCTGGATTTAACAAGAAGAAAATAGCATTTGGAACGACATATTTCGGTGATTCAACTTGGTTCGATTACGGTAGTTCAGGATTTGATAAATGCGAGTTTTCAAATTGTACATACTTTAAGAACATACAACTTGCAGATGCTGTCCTCTTTCATGGTTTTGATATTCATAGTAGAAACCAGATACAAGGAATCAGTAGACCAAATGACCAAATATGGATTTATTATAGTATAGAATCGCCTTATTCGGATCCAATTGATCAATCAGCATTGAATGGGATATTTAATTGGACATGTACATATCGATCCACATCGGATATACACATGCCTTATGGATATGTTACGAAAAAATCAATTCCTCTGTCTAATCCATCAGAGATATTTTTATCAAAAAAGACGAAACTTGCTGTTATAGCGTCAAGCCATTGTGGCACTATTCCTAGCGGGAGATGGGAGTACATCGCAGAACTCCAAAAATACATGTCAATCGATGTTTTTGGCAAATGTGGCAAAACACCAACTTGTGGTAGATTTGATTGTGTTCAGCAATTTGCAAAAGAATACAAGTTTTATTTATCATTTGAAAATGCCAAATGCAAGGAGTATATCACAGAAAAACTGTTCCTAAATGCCTACCTTAGTAACATGGTCCCCATTGTATTGGGTGGATACACTAGGCAAGACTATGAGCGAATAGCACCTCCCGATTCTTTTATATACTCAGGGGATTACAAAAATGCATCCATTCTCGCAGCGTATATACAATCACTGGATAAGGACGATTCAAAATATTTGGATTATTTTAAGTGGAGGCAATATTATGATGTAACAAGCGCAAGTGATAACCCTGCGTGCTTGTTATGTAAGGCGCTACACAATAAAAAATTGGTGGCTCAAAAAAGAATCGTAAACAATCTACACAATTTGAGAAACAAGACTGCTGAATGTCTTTCATCCAATAGCAACAGTTTAATGACTGGCTTAAATAGTTATCTTTACAGCATTGTCACAATGATATTTTTTGCTATGGGAATATGCTCTTATATTATCACGGACCGATGGAATTAGGTGATCATGACCTTTGACTTCATTCGGCAGGCCGATGTTTGTCCATTCCAGAGTGATGCATCACCATGGGAGATATTTATGTTGATGACCACTTGAACATTACTGGCAATTTTGTCTATTAGGCTTAACTATATAGAAATGACAAGTATTAAAGGGACAAGATGGGCAGGGGTTTCAATGAATATTTTTTCAACAGGATTTTGGCAATTTCAACAGGGATTGGGGGATAGAGACAAATTGAGAGTAGGTTTCGAAAAATTTGTCACGCTTTTACATTTTTTACTGTTATCCCTGGCTGTTATCATTTTATGTTATGTCATTTTTCGGAAAATCCCAACAGTTCTGATCTGGGTTTTTGACAGGTTTTCAGATGAACGGGTTATTTCTGTATAACTATCACAATAACAAAAGTTTTAATTGTCAGAATGTATGCAAAAATGATTGTTCTAAAATGTTCAGTCAAGAAAGTTTTCTAGAAAAATGTCTATCAGTTCTAAGAATTTCCTTAATACATGTCATATGTCAAGTGGTCACCACAAGAAGTAGTTCAACAAGTTAAACCTAGTCTGAGCCTTATTTCTTAACTTGTTGAACTACACAAGAAGTGGTGACATAATGTCATAGTCTCCAACTTTTTTTTGTGGATGGTGTTTGGCAGTTAGAGTTTGGGGGTTGGTGTTCAGCGTTTGCCATCTTTAACAAATGGCAGGTAGTGATATATTGCAGACTTTCACACAGTGAAACCGTGAATGGGTTATTAGATCGTTTATTGTTCCTTAGATCTTACACAGTTACTTGGATAGTACTAGTGAGCCAATATTTTATGTTGCATTTATCTGTTTATTGACTGTCAAAACAGAAATCATATATTTTATACATGAACGCATCTTTACATTGTAGCACTGTTTGTCAAAGAACGTCCAGCCAGGCATGACACATCTTTGACTAATGGCAATGAAACTGCGAATGAGTCATTAGACCGTTTATTGTTCTTTAGATCTTACACAGTTTCTTGGATAATACGAGTGAGCCAATATTTTATGTTGTATTTATTGACTGTATACCTCAAACAGAAACCCTATATTTGATACATGAACGAGTCTTTATATTGTAGCATAGCCAGGCATGAGAAGGGTGAGGCAATGCCTCAACTGCCTTTCAGACACATAATTCACAGTCACTCACTTTGTATGTTTTATGGTTTTGTAAGGACATTACATGTTATTAACTTTAAATGGCTTAAGTTTCTATACTGATATATATATATATTTATTACACATGACAATGAACAGCATAATTCAATATTTCAATAAATATTTTTATGACAAAAGTTAATAAAATTGGTTTAGCCATTGTATTATTTGTTTTAGTGAAATAGCAGGCCCGTAGCCAGGCCAAAAAATCTTTCAAAATCATGCAGTTTTTCACCATTCTGAGCACTTTTAAGTGATTTTGGCCACTTTTGGACCAAAATTGTCACTAGTGAACCCCCCTGGAATTTTTCAAGAAGTGAACCCCCTTGGCAAATCCTTGCTATGGGCCTGAATAGGGTCAGGCTTGTAAGCTATATCATTGTTCTTATGAATGAAACAACAAATTGAAGGTTTCTGCCCTTGATAATATACAGAGTGTCTCCAAAAAAATGTTACACTTACAAAAAGTTCAATATCTTTCATAATTTTGACTTTCCCCCCAAAATATACCTTGGATACCAAAAGACAAATCTTTCTTGAATAATTTGACACCATCAGATTCAAAATCTGTCCTTGATTGGCTCCACAGGACAGCTTTTAGTGTCCCATAGTAAAATCTGACTTGCGCCAACTTCTAAGTGATTAGATGGACCAAATGACAAAAGAGGAACAATTTACTTAACATTTAACTTTCTTCTGAGCAGAAGCTTGACCTTTAACTGAGTCACTCTGTAATTTTACTATTTGTCTTACAAATGGTCATTAGGTCTATCCACATAATTATGTGGTCCCCTCAACATATTGAATGTGAAAGAAAATCTGAGGTACCCTTGCCCATGCGAACATGCATTGTAATATCACACTGATTCCATCAATTATTTTAGAATAAAATGTAGAAGTTCATTTAGTTTAGTTTGTGATGCTGTTAAGCGCTTTCAGAGGCCCTTCAAAAAATCAAGGCTGTAAAGTGGGATGACCCTGGGGGCCAATCAGTTGGGTAATTCAATGTTATCTTCTGATTTCCAAACAGTTCTACCAAATGATCTGCCATAGGCCTTTGCAATATCCTGTTGCCATCATTCGTAACGAAATTGAACCTTGACAATGAAATTTTGTATTTCTATCCAGGAAAGAAACAACCAAATCATTGATCATATCAAGATATCACTGTCCACAGCATTCACACCAAAAAAGAAATGACCACCACATATCCAAACACTGAGAAGTTGGCACAAATCAGATTTCACATGCATCTATAAAATCAGTCCTGTGCAGCCAATCATGGACGGATTTTGAATCTGATGGTGTGGATTTATTCGAGGAAGACTGGTCTTTTGGTATCGAAGTATATTTTAGAGGAAAAGTCAAAATCATGAAAGATATTGAACTTTTTGCAACTGTAACATTTTATTTGTGACACACTGTAGAGCAGACACCCTCATACAGTCAAGAAATCATTATTATTACCATCTGAGACTCAGTTACCATGCAGTCCACATTAGGGTAGATCAGAATACTAGTAATGAGAATTGAAATGTAATTTTAATGATAGTCAGTGCATTTTCACAATTTTATTAGAGTCCATTTCACAGTTTTATTGCGTCAGTAAATAAGAAATCGGAAGACCATTGTGCAATAATATATGGAAAAGTATATTCATATTGTACATGAATAACATTTGTTTATTTCAGATTTTTTAGTTTTTTGTGCAATTTTGTGCTCCTGTAATTTGAAGAATTTTAGCCATGTTAATCTTACATGTATTGAAAATAACATTGCAGAGAAGCATCCAAATATAAGAGGCCACACTTTAAAGGCCAAACTAGAAGCAATCCAAGATAAACAAATGTCATTCATGCACAATAGGAATATATTTTTCCATATACTATTGCATAATGATCTTTTGATTTCTTATTTTTAGGTTTTACTGACGCAATTAAACAGTGAAATGGACTCTAATTCTAAATACAAAATCAAAACATTCTCACTGGTGTTACACTGTTAAAAGTTAAAATGTCGGATGTGGGATGTGGTGTACTAGTTACAAATCATGGGACCAAACGTCTGTCCCAATCCACGCATATTCTTAATTTTCATTAATTAAAAAAATAAACATTGTAATCTAAGAAAAATTTATGATAAAAAGAAATTTCAACAAAATAGACGTCGTGGACAGGATTCGAACCTGTGCGGGAAGATCCCATTTGATTTCGAGTCAAACGCCTTAACCACTCGGCCACCACGACATTTCGTCGAAGAATGGAAATTCCTTGCAATTTGAATAACTATCTGTATTCAAACAAAATTGTTGACAAAATTGATCAGATTATGACAAAATCGATTTATAAAATTATTGTTATCAGAAATTGTTAAATATTTCATCGCTATTTGTGGTGGATTAAAGCATTACAGTAAAAATACGAACGGTATAGATATTGATTCGTTGCGTTGATTTACATGCCATCTATATTTAAAAGTTCTCGTGCTTCAGATCGAAAAATAATGATTCAGTATTAAACCATCCTTCTTCAAAGGACTTCATTTATGCCTAAATTCATACTTGTAAAATACCCTTGCAGCAAGGATGTATTAAACTGCATCTTGATTGATCTATCATTTTTTAAATAAGTGGTTGCAAAAGTTGTTTATCAACTTCGTTGAAAAGTTAACTTCTTTGGTGTGACCGATGTGACGATAATATTGGATCAGTGTGTTGGTGCTGCCATCTTTATATCGGCCCAGAACCTATGGATGTGACTTTACAATGAAGTCTCACAGCTTACGAAGGCTTTGGACCTAAGTAAGAAATGTGCCCCCTCCTGGTTTGCTTCCGGATCTGCAACCGCGAGTGTCCCATGTTGTCTGATACGATAATCACAAAAAATAGAAATATATTTTCTTTTAGTATTTGACCATGGGCTTTCAATTAGACATTCCAATAAAAATATGATTTGTGGGAGAATGTTCATTTTCTTTATTGCCATAATTATGATGCTAATTGAAAGCCCATGATTAGACAGATTTTGTCGTTACCTGGACATATTCGAGTATTTGTTGCCTTTAATTACATTTTATACAGATTCATATTAAAGGGTAAAATAAATTGATCCGTAGAACTAATGGATTTTAAGTTTTAAGCGAAATGTCTTATATATCTGACGTGGCAGAAACGGGGGGAGGGGGTCGGTATGGGGCCAATTTATCAAAAAATGGGGCTTAATTTTTCAAAAAAATTTTAAGTGCCCAAAACTTTTCCAGACTCAAAATTTCCCCCCCCCACACTTGTTAATCCGACACTCCAGGTGAAGGGGTGACCAGAATTAGCCACCTGGTGGCGAAGTTGGTAAACTACGTATACCTACAGTATACTTGCATCTTTAGGACCTAAATGTGTTTAATCATTTTTTGATATAGGACTCTTTGTAAATAAAGAATCTCAATGCCCCCAATATTGAGAGTACAAATAAAACAGCAAAGAAAGCAGTACTGCGCACAATAACGTATTTCAGTGTGTAAATAAGTTTACTTTACAATAATATGCTTTTTCAAAATTTTCTTCTGCAAAGGCATCTCGTATTTCAAAGCCAACGGTGTTTAGGTTAAGTTATGATGTCCTAAGGAATCGTTGGACTATAGCTACATAAGAGGCTGACAGACAATTGACCTTCGAGGCATACTTAGTTGAACGTCTTATCAATATGAAACTATTCTGTACCGCATAAAAGATTACATTGTTGTCAAGAATCTTTTGCACTGAACATCAATAAAAACTAGTTCTCAAACAGCATATCTTCAAATTGCAGTGTGAATTGATAATGAATTGATATCGGAGACCTTGTACGACGAACTTGATGAAATAATTACTGAGTAATTATAATTCTTGTGGATCCAATGTTATCAAGTCAGGGTAGATTCCGATCCGATCCGATCAAAGCCCCGAATTACAACTTCGCGAATGTCTGATGCGGGGTCTGCTGATGATGGCTGCGTAATTTAGTGACAGAATGACAGTGGAAGAAACAGGTCGACAATCGAGTTTAGAAGATTGAAATGAGCCTCATTTGCAAAAAGAATTAATGAATAATATAACTAGCAAACCCAAACTTATAGAAAAGAGAACAACGATCAGTAAGCGACAAAATTTGTGGTGTTTTCGTGTGACTGTTTTGTTGATCATATAAAAAATGTGTCGTGATGCGACGGTATACTCTACTGTTTGGGATTAACAAAGAATGAATGAATTAGAATGAAGAACACGATGGATCTGATTGTTCCGGTATGGATTATTTTGGCAGTTATCCCTTTAGGTACGTTTGATATGATATCTGGTATGATGCTCGATGCTGTTGGTCAGTAGGTACTAGTACATGTAATGCAATGTGTTATCGTTCTTATAGAGGGGAAGGGGGGGGGGGGTCGCTGGACCTTGATCACATCCCGTCCATTTGAAAATACATTGCTATTTTTTTCTGTGAGAGGGTGAGTGGAATATTTGTAAGATGACACTTTGTAAGAGGGGGATGTAGTATTTGGGAGGTTTGGTAAATGCCAGGGTTTGATTTAAGCTCAATGCAACAGAAATTGAATGTTTTGGAAATATAACAGCTGAACTAAGGTTCCTATTAGCCATTCTTCTTAAAAGCCAATTTCTAATGTAACATTGTAAGATGAGTGTATTGCATGCGTTGATACAACTTAATATGTTTTGTTGATGCGTTGCCATAGCAATCGGATTATATTGCACTTCACAGACCTAGTCTATAATATTAGAGTTCACTGTTAATTTTCATGAAATTAGTCTTAGTTAGTGTTAATGTTTCATTAAAGTAGTCTCGACTTTGAACTTCCACACTCATAGGGTTTTTCATTGATGGGTCAAATTAAATAGTTTACTACTTGACCCACCTAAATAACAGACTTTCAGGTTGTAAGCATATCCAACCCAAAACTATGAACTTCGAGGAACTGTTCATGTATGCCTCACTTAAAACAATGAACTGTTTGCCCCCTGAGGTCTAAAGTGTTACACTTGCTCAAACGTGAAATATTTTTATCTGCAGAAATAAATTATCTCAAGTCTCGCCCAATATTTTATGTATACCTTAATAAAATGTAAATATTAAACTTTTTTTCAGCTAGTGGACTACAATGCTATACCTGCACGAACGTGAATCATTTTAACTGTGACGGAGAAAATGATGCACAGGACTGTATAGATGGCGTGCACAATTGTTGTCAGGCAGAGACTGTCATTTTTGATAAATGTAAGTTTCTCATCATTAATATATTAGATCTACAAATGCGTATACTACCTGGGTTGTTTGTAAAAATTCTTGAAGATGAAAAATCAGATAAATCAATCCAATCACTCAATCATCTGATCCATTTTTTTAATTTAGCGAATTTTGGAAGTTAAAGAATTTACATTGTCATCGTTCAATAACAATCAATGGAACTTTTGGTCAAATACATAATAAGATCTATTCCAACCACTCCTATACCATTTTGTGATGCTTTCTTCTTTTATACTTGGAATTTTCTATTAAAACAACTTAGTTTTTGCACTTTATTTACCTATTTTCAGTGATTATGGCATTCGGTATAACGCCTTTCAGTACAATGCGTGTCGGTACAATTAATGCGCGTCGGTATAATGGGTTTCGGTATAATGCGCGGACCCCGGTACATTCATGAATTCTGGATAATCGCTCTGACATCGATGTCATCGATGACACCGAAAGGCGTTATACCGAATGCCATAATCACTGAATAAAGGTAAATAACAGTGCAAAAACTAAGTTGTTTTAATAGAAAATTACACACAGAATTCAAATAGAAGAAAATGTTAGTCTTTACATGTAGTGGTTAAAAATGCAGATCTCCTAAAATCTCATTAAAACGAGACCTTGACGAGATTTCAGAGCTATATGGAAAAGCCACTATTAGATAGATGCCTTCACTAGGCTATTCTCTGTACTTGTGTCCGTGCCTCATTTTGAGTAGCGAGTGTAAATTATTTTCGGAAACATGATTATGTTTTCCCGGTAATATGAATTGGAGATATCTCACAAAATATGCCGGATAGCCTATAATATTAATGTTGTGTTTTTGTAAACGCGGAAATATCTTGAACATTTTGAAACTGAAGTACAGTTCCTTAATAGGTCGTTCAGTTTTTTTTGTTTTTGTTCTTCACAACACTTGCGTTTAATAGCCACGAGTAATTATTAATAAGCGTAATCAGATTATTCAAGCGTCGAAATAGCTTATTTTCCTTGACGTATGTACACAAATTGAAACCTATTCACTTACCGTTATATTGAGCGATCTACATGCGTCAATTATAATTGTTTTCACTCATCGGCTTTAGTGGCCCGCGATACCTTTTATTTTATTCATTTGAGACGGAATTGACATATTGGCAACAAATCAAATGTTCTAAATGATTTTTCTTCATTTTGGAATGTTTCGTCTTAAATATTATACTTTACATTGATCACGATTCTTGTACTTTCTGTCTTTACGACTCCCGTTCACATTTGCAAGAGTTGTTGATTGCATTGCCTTGATCGTTGGTTAAACTTCGATTCCAACTAAATCAGATTAATCAATTAAGAAATGTAATATCATGTTTATCCAAGTAAATAATTGTAACAACTACATTATTTTTTAGCAGTTTTGACACCTAAGCAGGGTAGCCTAGTGGCGTAGACTGAGGCTACTTTGCGGTTGAACGTCGTGGGATACGGAGGTCCCGCGTTCGAGCCCCAGGTACGGAGTTGTTGATCATTGTCACTACGGACACCCGGTCCGAAGGTCCAACCGTTTACCGGCCCTTGGCATGGGTTGGTTCTCTGGCCGCTCTTGCCGGAGACAGATTGTGAGACTGTGGTTGGTTCCTCCACTAACGTGCTTTAGTAAACTCCGGGAGTCATATAGTATGGTAGCGGGCCCCCACCAAGGGCAGTAGTGGAACGACGCGAATCGGTCCCAGTATGGTTGCCTTGCAACTGAAGAGACTCGAGGAAATCATGCCATTCGCAGTGACCCAGAAAAGACTTTTGCTTCTTAATTTGACGTTTTAATTCATTTAATTACATACCTTATTCATATTCCTTTCCAGGCAGTTATGATTTTTATTGGTCAAATGAATGAACGAGACATATAGATACTGTTAAATACATCTAGATAGTATCAAAACCATAATTCGATATGTCGGAGATATATAAAATAACACTTGAAAACACAACACACATAGTTGTAATATCCGTAGCATTTGGCACAGTCGGTTCCCACGCTGTATCATTTTGTGCGGTCATCATAGGATAAGGAGGTACAGTTGATTGGCCCATGGGCTTTCAACAGAGTCAAGAAATTGGCATGGATACTTTGAGAAATGAGGTAGCAACAAAAGGAAACACCGGAAATAATCCAGAATTGTCCACACCTTTGTTTTCGTTAGTTATGGCAAGGCCTCGGAGGAAAAACAGCATTCGTGGGTGGCTTAATTTTGATACCAATTAGAGCCATGACTTAAACTCAACCAAGAACGATGGAGCAAAGTCACTATGGGTCCCGATTGAGAATCAATTCAAATTAAAATCAAATTGAGAATCAGATGACCTGCTAAGTCTAGTATTGATTGCGAGTTTCAAATGAAAATATTTAAAAACGCGCGAGTATGAGGACTGCAGCTTTTCATGTCTACACTGACAAAAACTTCAAAATTCCCGCTGTAAAGATATAGTCCAACGAGGAAGTGCATGTCATAAAACTGATGGGCTAAGACAATGTGCCGTCCCACTGGCACGGATTTCGGTACAACGCGCATCGGTAGGCCTTTTCGGCACAATGCGTGTCGGTATAATGGGTTTTGGTATAATGCGCGTCGGTATAATGGGTTTAGGTATAATGCGCGTCGGTATAATGAGGTGATCCCAATGTACCTATCTTTGAATTCTGGGTAATTCCTCCTCATATTGGTCTGAAAGCATGAAACGTATATTACCCATAATGCGTCTCTTCTTTTACAAAGTACATTAATAACTTAAAAGAAATAAAATGAATGAAATACTATCTTCCAGATCGCCAATACAGTAAGAGATGTGCACGATACGAGGCCTGTATTCTGATCGAGACAAACTGGCTGAATAATGGACTATGTACGGGGGAGGTAGGATCCCAGTGTCTGAAATGCTGCAATGACACCCTATGTAATGGACCCGACCCCACTGACATTCTATCTTCGGGGGTGAGATGGTATACACACCCCAGGGACATTCTTCCATTTGAAATTTTGTACTTATTATATTCAGTGTATGGAATGCTGCAATGACACCCTATGTAATGGACCCGACCCCACTGAGATTCTATCTTCGGGGGTGAGGTGGTATACACACCCCAAGGAATTCTTCCATTTCAGGGAACTTTGTACTTATCATATTCAGTGTATGAAATGCTTCAATGACACCCTGTGTAATGGACCCGAGCCCACTGACATTCTCTATTCAGGGGGGAGGTGGTTTGCATACCCAGGGGACATTCTTACATTTGGAATTTTGTACTTATTATATTGAACGACGTATTACTAACCAATATAAAGAAACTATGTAGGTGAGTTAAATGTAAACAGGCGAGGCAGGTTAGTCCTATGTTTTCACGGTGAGCAAACATTTATCCCAGGAGGATGTCTGTAGGTGAAAATACATCTACACCAAAGTCTCTAATTAGCATATCGACACCAATTACTTGGACAGTTAATGCTCTTGAAGTATTTTTTCAATTATCAATATTTTGATGACAAATGAAAGTGGGTCAAACAAGTGTCAACTTAGAGACAAATACGTGGAAGAAAACAGCATCTTTGCCGAAAGTGAAGGTAATGTCCCTCTCTCCCATGCTACAAAGATCGCATTATTAGATATAGACAGATATGGATATGGACATTTTACTTCTTGTATGTCGGAGAACAATTAATTTCAACTTCGAAATGTGGTATACTGCAGCAAAGAGTATGCTTATAGCGCATAGCCCCTTTACCGTCAAAAAGTATTTGGATCCATTTTGAGATGTGGTGTCTGGAAAGTAGGTCAAAACTAAAAAATCTCCAAATTTAACGCGTTGGTTATGTAGTAAGGGTAGAATTCTACAAGGAGTCTGAATCTGATATCAGAAACGAAATCCGACGTCAATCCAGTTTTGAAATATTGAAAAGCAATGTCCCAATGTTAAGTCAATGCAGTCGAAGAAAACCTGCCTAAGAATTGTCAAAAAGTCTATTCTGGCTGATTAAGCTTATTTTGGATATCATGTCTTGTTCTAGATGACTCAGTTTAAAAAAGTCTGAACTCTGGAGTCTTTATTTCACATGTCTAGTTATTATCACATTTTTATGACATTGAACAAGACTAGTACTGCAGCCAAAGTGGAATTAAACTTTTTATTGGGCCTGTAAGGGTCGGTGATAAAATGCTAGCCATTAAGATTAAGATACGAAAGCTAAGATTTTATCATCGCCAAATTCCAGAATTTAAAAACTTGAAAAAGTTCGTAGTGTATAGGACTGACTAGGCAGACGACATCAATCGGTATTAGGGAGGTTGAGTTAGCAATTTCTTTTATAAATAGTGTCAGGAAAAAGTTGTTATAGGGTGACCGTTTAAATTAATTGTAAGGTGGACGTTTAGCAATTCATGGGTTCTCTGCAAACAAGAAGTGAAATGTCCAAGAAGAGAAGTACAACGCAAGAATTTACGAATGTAGTTAATGTAGTTAAACATGTAGTTAAATGTAGTTAAAATCTCGAAAGTTCACTTTATTCGATCAGGGAAATTGAACACTAAAGACACTTTTTTCATAATAATTTAATTATTTAAACATATACCACATACAATAAATCAAATAATAAAGTTTGACAAGGTCAAAACAACACATCCTCCTAATCAGGTGTCCAGAATCCGTACCTCCTTCGTAAAAAGAAAGAAGATATTCTGAATTTTGAAGCCCTGTGATCGAAGGATGAAACAACATCATTGTATGTTAAACTAATAACTGATGTACAGTTTTATGCATAAATATCATTTACAATAGAGCCATCTGTTCTATTTGTATCTAAAGGTCCTGTAAAAACTGTTACAGGCGTCCGAATACTTATCGAGGCAATAATTAAAATATCACATCTCATTATATAATTAAGACCATATTGTTGTTTCTTTATTTCCCAAAATTCAATAGAGCAATGTGAAATTGAACAGGGTGACACAAAATATACCACCAACTAGTTTTGGAATAACTTTCTCAATAATTAAGGAATCTTTATGATTTTTTAATGTGTAGATAAAGTGCTCAATGGAAAGAAGATTGATTGCTATATGCTTGCGTAGCATCAACAACTTAAGAATTAAGAGGTATCTCATTTCCGTGTAGCTATGCTCTGGCGCAAAATCAATCAAAACTGTAAATTAGAAAATAAAGTTTACTTTAATTTTAATTGAAATTTTATTTTGTACAAATTCACATTATGAACTCGATTTGGTTAAAAGTACTAGTATAGTTCATAATCTAAAATTCATAGAAATTGTATATCGGATGTACGTTTGGCCCTAAAGGGGCATCAGTACTAATAAATCCTATTATATATATAATCTCCACGAATGTAGGTTCGTATATCTATGGGTTATGTTTTCCCTTGAATTGCAATATGAATTTGTCTGTGTTGTCAATTCCGTAGTCATTAATAATTTATAAAGTTGCACATTCGTTCAATCGATGCATACCTCAATGTTAATTCCCTTCTCTCCCATGGCCCTGGAGATCACATTTTTTCTATTTAAGTGAAAAATAAAGTCGGTAACATCATTCATGCTTAATACCCTTGCAGCAAGGATGGTCGGTAACACCTTATTATTTGATATAAAGCATCCTTATTCATGGACATATGAATATTAAAGTGCTCGGAATATACCATCCCTTAGATCTGATTCGATTCAATTGTGGTCACGGCTATTGTTTCTGCAACTTGATCCGAAACAACTGTAGTCGAGGGATTCGCTCGTGAGTTCCTAGTCTCAGATATGGTTTGACTCCCCGTTGATCCCTTGGCACCACAAAAGAACGCTGATTTTAAGCTCTTTTGGAACGCTTTAAAGCTGAGCGCATAAATAAAGGGATTGACGCAACAATTTGCGAAACGGACCACAACGCCGAACTGGTACATTGGACTTGTAAAACTGCCGACAGGAATTCCCAGGTTGTAGAGAAGGTAATATACGCTATCCCACACAAAGCATATGAAAAAACATATTGACACTAAGAGGAGGGTTCGAATCATGTTGAATCTGGCCTTCTGCATTAATTTTTCTCGCTGCTGAGAAGCGCTAGGCATCCTGACTTCTCTGTGTATCATCAGAGTTATTCTGCCGTAACAAAAGCTCATGATGCAAATAGGAATAATGAAATCAAACACTATGATTATAACTCCAAAAACATTTTGGAACATCTGACTTGGCCATTCGCTCCATGTTGAACATACTTTTCCTTTCAACTCTGTGGTCAAAACGCTGAAACTCATGAAAGCGAGACCCGTGATCCAGACAATACAAATGGTAACGCAAACCCCTTTCTTTGTAAAGTATCGCTTGTATAATAGGGGGTAAATGAGCCCCAAATATCTCTCAAAAGTCAGCGCTACGAGGTTGAACGTGGAAACTACCATCGGGGCCCATATCAAGTATTTAGATAGCCAAAGTTTGCAAAAATAATACGCCAAATGTCCAGGTTCCTTTATCCATCCCATTCCATCGAATCCGTTGTTTAGTGCAATGAAGGTAGATGCCACAGCATCAATAACGCTCTGGTGCAATATCAAAATGTTCGTAATTTTATGTCGTAAGGTAGGCGACCCGAGGAAAACAAAAATCACTAGTGAATTTCCTAAAAATCCAACGGTTCCCATTATCCAGAATATAACCTTCTCATGATATGTTGTGTAACTTGTCGAAGTGAACGCGAGAGTTGGAATGACTGATAAGTTTTCTGTTATAAACTCATCATTTTCCGATGTGTTAAGCCCAGGATCTGTGACATTCGAGAAAGTATCCATTAACGAAAAGTTTCCGTTTGTATATGCGCCATTTTTGACCGTGCTTAGAGCACTGTCCGTTGCAGTAGTACCAACATTCATGAATGGATTTGATGTTGTTAAATTCATGTGTATATGTTGTTAGGTTTGATGAGACTGTTTAATACCAACTAAACTAGCTTTATTTTTATACTATTGGAGATTACAGATTATACAGCTTTTTATAATTAAAAGATTAACGAGTCACGTATGCATTATCACATCGAAATATGATCGAACATTGTATGGTTGCAATTTGTCTTAATGTCTTGATAGATACAAAGTAACACGTAGTATATTAAGTTCAGCTCTTTCATATTCCGTGGCCTCACTAAACATTTATTGCATTTGATACAGTAGCTGGTATCTTGTATGTAAGAGGCGCAACCTCACCGGCGTGCAAAAGTCAATCTTTTAATTGTGCAACGGGGATTATGCAACCTGTAATCAATTCTTAATAGCGAGGGCATAATCATTAAATGTATGCTGTTTTTCTTTAAAGTGTCTCACATATTCGATCAAAATTTGCCATACAAACATGTTAGTCTACTTTACTGGCCCCCCTTGCTGTAACAAGGAACCCAAAACACATTAAAACGTAAACATAAACCAATTAGTCACTTCACTATGAAAGTGAGGGGTGTACGCTGTGTGCATGGACTAACACAATATCAGTGGTCATTTACTGTGTCAACTTAGTAACTCTTGCATATCGTGCTCACTCAAGTATTGAATATTTTTTTATGATTTAAATGTTTGTGGTTCATAAAAAAAGTGATATGTTTTAGTTAGAAATACATTAATTAATATATTCATTCAAACAGCACTAGAATGCGGGAAGAAAGAGCAATGGTGACAAAATGCAGACAGAATTTTCCGTAAGGGTTTCAAACATTTCTAAACACAATCATACATGTACTTCATGTGTACTGTTATTTTTAGTGCTATATTTATAGATATAATTTCACGTATTAAAATCATATTTTCCAGCAATGACTTCAAATTCGGAACCACACCCATATTACATTTTCTTCAAATAACTCCAAACATTTGTAAACATTGACCATGTGCATATAAATTCAGATTTCACGAGCTCTTTCCTATTCGAGTACCTCATACACCCCTGCATGGATTTGAGTTGGATTCGCCTTTTATACGTGAGCCGACGCACTCGCAAACGCTGATTGGATAAATATTGCGAGAATCTTTAAATGAGCGAAACGTTATAACAAATAATATAGTGAGTAACGTAAAGGAGTAAAATCGTTTTTTCAAGCTTATGATCTCCACAACGAACAATTCTTCCGATTCCAACCCCCGATTGAAGGAAATGTTAAGACAGCTTTTCTCAATTTCAAAACTCTATTATTTATCTCTCCCATTTCGAGCACAATGTATTAAGCTCTGGCATTCAAGTTGAATTTGAAATCGCAAAAAGGCAGTGCGAGGGGACTTGTGTAAAAATCAACTTACGACGGATGAAATATAGCCCACTAATTGTAAATATGATACACACTTAAATAATGACAACATGATCGATCACATTTTTCCATTTAATTTTTTATAATTAACTATTGTTATCTCGAAAATTGAGTCGAAATAATATAACAACCATAATATCAATATATGAGCATCTGATACCTCCTCATTAAATCATACACAAGGTGGATGTAATAATAATAGGAAGCCCAAGACTTTGACAGAATTTTTATTCCATAGGATGGTACAGGGTGATCGATAGTAATTTTCTCAATCTTGCATAATCTTGATGAAATTTTAGGACGTAGTACTAAAAAAGATTTTCTCTGAATTTTTAAGGTACATTTACATTTCGTTTTTGGCTCGGGGTGTTTTGAAAATGTAACAATTGTCACCCCTTAGCTTTTATGTATTTTATAATGTACATAAAAGTATTTTTTGAAACAAAAAACATGCCTTACAATATCGGAAATCTACTTACTTTAAAAAATATTAACAATGTCCGAGGATGTAATGGGGAGGGAGGCGGGGAAATAATTAATATCCCAATAGGTAACAATTAGGGCGTTCAATAAGTATTGCTAATTTTGTAATAACTTTGTTATCTTGCTTTTTTCTTCATAGAACTTGCCAAACCCAAGGAACACATATCTGACCTTATCCTTTATAAATTTCCAGAAAACTGACTTAGTATTGACAAAGTTATGGTTACTATAGTAGCCATTGTGACGGGTACGCGGGGGTTTACATGATAATTTATTGTAATACATCAAATAAACACTTTGATTAATAAAAACTGCTTAATAAAAACTGCTCAAAATGTGATGTTGTCAGTTTGAATTGTATCTAACAACGAGCTATGACATCACAATGTGTATAGTACATTAATTATCAAGGAGTAGATGATAGTCGCATGATTATGTCATACCCCTTTGAAACAAAATAAATGATTGAAAGGCTGTCCTGCCAAGCAATATCGACCTATAGGTTCCACCAGGATAATGGCCTGCTCACTGATTCTCTATTGTCCAAAATAAAATAACAGAGCTTGGGATGGAAGCATTGCCCCACGCAGCATATTCCCTAGATAATGTCCAACTTGATTTTGCTGTATTCGCCCCAGTGAAAAGAGATCTGAGAGGAATATCACACCAGAATCTCAATTAACGGATGTCTGACAGTGAACACCTCCCTAGCCACACACTTCAAGGGTGGCTTCAAAAATGTGTATCACAAGTGGGTCCCCAGACAGCAACTGTGCATTGACGCTGAGGGTGCCTATTTTGAACACCTCATGAAGTGAAAATGGATCATGAAGTGACTCTGGAATGGGTAATTTGTAACTGCACTGAATATCCCAAGAGTATAATATGATATTGCTTTCAATACTCAAAATGTCGTCCAAAGTAACGTCAGAACTTTGCCCCGCATATCCATGACACTGGTTACCTTAGTAACCATAACTTTACTAGTAGTTGTTCAATTGACTTGACATTTGTATTGGTCAAAGTCAGATATATGTACATTATGTCGTGAACGTTTCGTGAAGAAAAATCAAACAGAACAAAAGTTATAGCAAAATTAGCAATACTTATTGAACGCCCTGTAAATAGTGCGTCTCGTCATAGTGGATCAAGTAACGATCGATTAAAAATGATAAAGTTTAATCGTTTCAAAATGTTAATTACATGTACATGTACATTACAAGACGCTAAAGCCAAAAAGATTGGTAAATATGTGTTGCTTTGAATATAACTGCTTGTAAGCTGAGTATGAGGTCACATGCTTAAGATAAATTCATTTAAACTCCGCCTCCATTTCCTTTTTAAATCCTATTTATCCCCATCATTAATTAAACATAAACTTATAAAGTTGTGTGGTTCAAATTTTATTTATATTTACAAAATATGATAAATGTATTTTAATATGTCATTATACCTCGTACATTAAAATATGGGCCGTCTTGCGGCCTTTTACAATATATTTATAAGATATGATTAATGTATTCTTAATATGCCATTATACATTAAAATATGATTTACGTATTTTATAATGTACATAATAGTTTTTTTTAAACAAAAACATGCCAATTTGGATATGGCTAAGCATAGACAATAGCCCTAAAAATGTATTAACCAGCTCTTTCACTGAGATGTCAATGCGTGGGATTGCAAAATAGTTCCACTGTTTTGTGTTTCCTGGAGCTTGAATTTGCTGTAATAATCTTGAATAAGTGGATATTCATTAAGATGCATGAAACCTGGGAAAGTATTTCTTACGAATTCCAAATAAAAACACTTCGTTGGAATTTTAGTTATGCGTAATAAAACGAATAAAATTACTGACTTTTGTCAATCAAAATCTACAATATTAGAAAATTCCTTTGTCGACTTTTTGAGAAAATGACACTTTGGTAAAGCCATATTGGTAGCGGTTCATGGCAGCCAATGGGGATTTTCCAAAATTAAAATGCAAGGATTTTATTGTCATAACTGACTCAACTATGTCCAGAATTTTATAGTCCCAATCAATCCCATACGCCCGACACCAGGTATGTTCAGCGGATTTGTTAGGACTGAATAGGGACTCTTGTTTGAAGGTCTCCCCGGGGTTATTTGAATTACACCGGAGTAAAAGTCAAAGTAGGTCAAGGGTCAATCCAGTTTCCGCCAGTACTCAACAAGAACAAAGGAAGAGGTGCGTTTATTGGCAATTATCCCTATGGTCAAAATGAATAATTCTTAGGTGCAACATGAAGAATAGAATGTCATATAACTCTTTGGAAAATATTAAAGTGCTCGGGCACACGTAGGCTGATATAGGGGCCATTTAGTTCAATAAGGTTGTATTGACTTACATGGGGCTGTGCATCATTGACTTAACATGAGGATATCAGCAGATCCCAATAGAGGCCATTGGTTTCCATTGATTATCACAAAAATACCAAAATACACTATGATCTGAATCGATTGCAAACTTAATAATTTCACAATATGACACAAATGGTTTATCTCATCAAATGTGTAAATATAAAGTTTGCAATCGATTCAGGTCATACTATAAATCAAAAGATTGTACATTTTTTCATCATCTTTTCCCTACAATATGGCTCTAGAAAAATGCTTCAAAAACAACTTTTACATCAAATATCATACAAGTTTGTAAAACCAAAGATTATACTATTGTATTTCATTATTTAGTAACATATTTGGATAAGATATAGGGATGCGTAGGATGCAAATGGATTTTGATAAGCATAAAAAAACGTCCTGGTTTGGAATCTATGTCTATACACTTCATGATTGCATTTTGACCCTAATTAGTGGCCTATACATCAATAAAGTGCTGGATATAGGTCAACAAGATACTAGTGTACATATAAATGTAATAATAAAAGCAATATATCCATTTTGAAAAATCAGATGATTTTTTTTTGTTCATGGGGAGATCATAATGGAGGGCGCACTAGATCCTTTAGCAGCAGCTACCGAAAGCTCGAAAGC